CCCGGTCATGGGCCACCCCTCCAGCAACCCCTCCATACAGGGACTGGACACCGTGCTACACCCCCTTGATCCAGGTGGAGCGGTCAGAGTCCCTGGACCAGGTCAACGGCAGCCTGCCATCCCTGCACCGCAGCTCCTGGTACACAGACGAGCCTGACGTCTCCTATCGGACTTTCACACCAGCCAGCCTGACCGTCCCCGGCAGCTTCCGTAACAAGAACAGTGACAAGCAGAGGAGCGCGGACAGCTTGGTGGAGGCAGTGAGTATAGTCCTGCGCCATGGGAGGGCACGCCCCAGGGACAGCAGAGGCTAGGGCCAGTCGCATGGCAAGAGGAGGTGGTGTGGCCCTGTCACCCACGTTTGACAGCTCTGATAGCAGAAAGAATCCAGCCAAGTCTCCTAAGCGAGCTGCACCGCCCGGACATGTGCACTTCCTGCCAGGGCCGCTGCTCTGGCCATTATCTCCCTGGTGGGCACCACTCTTGTTGGGCCATGAGTAGCTTTTCAGCTCTGTGACGTTTCCAGAGCCGAAGCCATCTACATTTAGTTGTCGCGCATAAGGTCTAGTAAACACGACTGGGCTGAGAGCATAACACATCGTGCAGGGTGGCGAGAGCAGCTCTTTCTGCCACCTCCCTCCACCCTTGTAACACATGCATGCACTGGGTCTTCTTTCCCGCACAGGTCCTGATTTCCGAAGGCTTGGGACGCTATGCAAGGGACCCAAAATTTGTGTCAGCGACCAAACATGAAATCGCCGATGCCTGTGACCTAACCATCGATGAGATGGAGAGTGCGGCCAGCACCCTGCTCAACGGGAGCATGTGTCCTCGGGCCAATGGGGATGTGGGCCTGGTCTCTCCCCGGCAGGACTACGAACTCCAGGAGTTTGGGCCTGGCTACAGCGACGAGGAGCCAGACCCTGGGCGAGATGAGGAGGACCTGGCCGATGAAATGATCTGTATCACCACCTTGTAGCCCCACTGAGGGGCAGACTTGGCTCTGGCCTCAGGGGTGGGGGTGCAGGAGGGCCAGGGATAAAGTGCCTCATAGTTAGGAGAGTTTAGGCACTAGCTGGGAGGACAATATTCAATTAAGACTTTTGTACAAGCGATGTCATGCCTCAAGGAAGCCATAACCCTGGTAGGAGCAGGCTCCGAGCAGCCGAGCCTGGCAGTGCCCTGTGCACTAGGCCGGCCAGACAGCAGGCCCAGCCCTGAGACAGGATGGTGAGGAGTCAGACCAGCCCCACATGACACACAGGCAGGTACGACCCAGGGCGCCCACCCACGGGCACACGGGGGAAGGTTAAAGGTGATGACCATCACCACACCCGTGTCATTACCTCAGCCACGGGTCTAGCATATCACAGCATATCCATTTTTAAACCCTGCTTCCTGGTTCCGGTTCCGCTCTTTGCAGTAGTGTGTGTCAGAACCCCGCCACCTGGGCCCTTCACCAGAGGGGAGCGGGAGCAGACAGACGAGGTTTTCTGTTAGGTGGCACCAGTTTACATGAGAGGACACCACTCGGATGGTCAGTTCTGACTCACCCTCAAGGGCAACTGTAAGCTGGAGTAATAATGCACTTGCAACCAGGTAAACTTAGATACGCTAGTTTGTTTAAAAATTATAGATTTCCTTATTGTACATGACTTGTAATATACTACAATTTGTATTTGTAAAGAGATGGTCTATATTTTGTAATTATCGTACCGTATTTGAACTGCAGCAATACCCATGGGTCCTAACAAGTGTAGATCCCCACTGAAATCTAGAAACTGTTAGTATTTTTACTGGGGCTATACAGAAATAGAGCAAATTCTCACTTATTCTGTGAAAATCCTTTGGGGGTAAAATTTTGAGTTCAAAAGAACTTGACACTACAGAAATTTTTCTAACGTATTTTGAGTCACTATAAACCTGTCTTTACATCGGATACACAAGATGACGATTTGCAGTCTTTTCTTTGGGCAAGAGTTTTGATTTTGATATTGTACCTTTTATCCACCATGGGTTGCAACTGTCTTTTGTTTGGTTTACGTGACCCTGCAGTTAGCTGACAGAGTGAGTCAAACCAGCCACTCTGCCCTGGGGCGTCCCTCGGTTTGGTTTCCTCAGCTGCCAACACCAGCGTGCAAAGAACTGCACGGGTGAGCACAGCGTGTGCGCCTGTGCTGGGCACTGGGGGGTGCTGCGTGTTTTAAATCGGGAGCTGGGGCGGAGGACGGAAGGGGCACCGTGGTGACCAATGGGATTAGGATGTTGGGGTCTGTATGGATCGTACTGTGGCCTTTTACAAATCTCTGCTGTGCTCTGTGTTCTCTTCGAGGGCTTTTACATGCAACTGAAAGAGGGCTGAAGTTTTCGTGAGAATGCACTCACTCCAACCATGTGTCTTGGGAAACCCGCTTTCGGATCATTAGAACTGCCAAGGCTCCCTTTCTGTTAACAGTCATGCAACGTCGTCATGTCACCTTGGCAGGGATTTGCTGCAATCAAAACGACAGGTAGCAATTTTGGTCCAGAATTTTTAACTAATATGTAGAAAACCTGTCAGTTTTTTGTAAATAACGACACTTTGTTACAAAGACCTCACGAACCTCTTCGTAAGACATTCTTAAATCCAGATCCAGGCAAAAACACTTCAAGGTTTGTAAATGACTTATTTCCTGACATAAAGCCTTTTTTATTAAAATGCAAAATGTTCTTCAGAAAAAAACTGTGTAATTTCCTTGTATCTGGGAGCTCTCCTTGCACAGGCTGGCTTTGCCAGCGAGAGCTTCAGAGAAACAGGTGCTCTCCAGGGCAGCTCTGGAATCAGGTAGCTTTTCCTCAGCCTCCTTGCATGCCAGAGGTAACTTAATACCAGCTGCAGAGAGCACCTTTTCTCCCAAAGGGCTAAACCACTGTCAACATTCTCTCGGACTGTGTGTGTCTGCTGGGTATTGGTCTTACTGTGTGGCTAAACATCAGCAGGGCAAACCGCCACCCCAGGACTGTATGTTCTAGAACAGGAGATGGTCTCTCCCGGAGTCAGTGAATGCTGGTGTTTTACAGGCTGCTCCGCTTCCCATTGTCTGTCTGCTTGAAGCCTGGTTCAACTTCTCATCTAATATTAAATTTCTCTTGGTAAGAAAAATCTAAAGTTGTAGAGCATGGTTCTTTCCTTTTTTAGGAGTTTCAGGATTCAACATTTGTTTTTTTATCTTCTCTCCCTGTGTCCCTAAGAACAGAATAGTTTGTGTCTTTATTAATAACAAAGTAAAAATGGCTACTGTGATTTAACTGTCAATGAACTGTGAGGACCTAGTTAAGAGCCGAATCTATGGGCCAGGGATTAAGCTCAGTGACACTGCATCTGCCTGCCAAGTTCAAGGTCCTGAATTTGATTCCTGGATAAAAACAAACAAAAAAGCCCTGCTCTATTCAGGGTGCAGACATCCGCTTAGCCAGACGGCCCATCCAGCTCTAGTGTGTGCAGAACCGGTAGAGGCTGGGAGAGGAGGGTCAGGACAGCAGAAGGTGCCTGCGAAGATGGTAGCTGGATGTACCACCACTTGCCTGTGCCTCCACTCTTGAAGCCAGAATGTAAAAAGGACATCATGCGAGACAAACCAGTCTAAAGTGTCCCTGTGGCTGCATTTCCCACGGGCTTTTATTTTTGGCTGGACAGCTGACTCATTTGTAAAAACAGGGTTAGCCACAAGCTGACATCTTGTAGAGCCCTGACTCCCTTACTTACTGGCACCCCAACCCCAAAGTGGACTCTGGCTACACTTTGCATTCATTGAAAAGTCATTTCTCCTCCTCTCTGTGGAGCTGGGAGGGCAGGGGAGGTGGAGGAACAGACTTGGGCCCAGCTTTCAGCATTAGAACAGGCTTGAGGGTGATCTGAAGACAGGGTGGAGGTGGGCGCTGGAGGAAGGAGCCAGCAAGGGCCGCCTGGGTTGCAGCCAGGGCTTCTGAAGAGGGGGGCTTATTTCCTTCTGATTTTTAAAAGAAAGAAATCTGTGTGACAGAACTGATGTCATGTTGGTTTATCAATGGAAATATGAAAAAAGCCTTTGGGAAGCAGGATGTGGTTTGGGTGGGGTGAAGAATCTATTTGCATTTATGAAAACTACTGCCGCAGCCTGGCCTGGAAGTGGAAGGGCTGTACTTTGGGCACAACCTCCCACCTCTATGATGCCCTTTCTGCTTATGCTGGTGGCTTCCCCTGCTCCCCTCTGGGCTGGCCCTTTCGTCAGAACTGCTAGTGGCATAAGCGCAGGGCTCCTTCTGGGACAGGACTCCTCAGAGCTCTACACACATGCACTGCTTTCTGTGAGGCCCCTTCAGCTCCAGGTATTACAGGCTTTTGGCCCAGGAGTTCAGCTAGTCTGTCCAACTCCCCGCAAGACTATGGCCAGCGGGGCTATTCGGGCATCGCCTGCAGGACCCAGAGGAGGGACAGCCTTGGATGTTGGGACAGGAGACTCCCTGGGAGAAACCTCGAGGAAGACTTAAAAATGTCTTTTTTGACCCTCTCTTAGAACAAGAAACACAGTAAGACACAGGTAAAATTAAACAAGAGCTGCCTGACGTTTGAAAAGAAAGGAGAAAAGTCAGGCAAGTACATACTTATGATCTCCCCTACTCAACAGGTGAGTGTGAGGCCAGCCTGAGCAACTTAGTGAGACCCTGCAGCAAAGTCGGGAGGAAAAAAAGAAAAGAAAAAGCATGATAATTTTCTTCTACCTTTCCAGTAGGTTTTTTTTTTTTCTTCTCCCTTTTTCCCATAAACTCCCAAGTTTTTCTCTTTAGTCTGGGCTCAGTGTAGCAGGTTTCCAGATAGCAACTGTTTTCTTCCCTGCTATAGGTGGTAGCTTTGGGTATCTTGAGAAAAATTAACCCACGATGCATTAGTTGTTCCCTGGTAAAGAGAGTCTGGATAAGGCCCCTCAGTTAACAAGTTACAGGATTACAGGACTGAGTTACAAAATGGTACTTGTATCTGCTTTTGTTCTCCTGAAAACACAAATCTTCTCTGTTGCTTCTTTCACCCAGTTGTACTTTACTGCTTTTTCAGCTGTCTCAGCACCATTTTCGGTCTATTCCCACAGATGTGTAGAGAAAGAATCCACCAGCACTGTCTGTGTGGGGCCGCTTCCAGGGCCTGAGAGGTTCTCTCAGGATCTCCGCTTCAGGATGCAGCTATGCCCTCTTATGAGGAGCTTTCTCCAGGCTTGTGTTATTCCTGGCGACAGGAAGATCTTCTGAAATGTTAAATCGTGAAAGTTTTGGTAATGAGGCACAAGTGGCCTTCTCTCCTTAAACAAGGTCAAGAAAGCCTCAGTTGAGCCTGTATTCCTCGAGAACCAGAGCACCAGAGTTGGGGCTGTGAGCCCCTCCAGTACCCAGCTACGCCCTGGACCCGTGTCCTGGGTGTTAAGTGAGGATGGCAGAGGAAGGGAAGCCTCGGCTCACCCTCGCTGGCAGCTTTCCCCCAACCAGGGACGCCAGGAATGTGAGCCAGCCAGGGCTGAGCTGACTCTGGTGTGATGCTTGGTTTCAACTTCAAACTTGCAGCCCCTCCTCAGGGAGCCCCTGTTCATAGGGGAGCCAGCAGAGAACCACTCCCAGGAAGGCAGCAGGATACTGGGCTGGGGCAGGCCACGTGGACATGAGAAAGGACACGGTGTAAGTTAGCCCTCTGCCTCTACAGCCCCCGGCTCTGTCCCCTGAGGGAGGCAGGGTGGAGGGGCCTGACCTGAATGCTCGTCTCCCCCAAAGGGCCCAGAGGGAAACACTGGGGAAAAAGAACTTGACTCCCTCACTGGTACTAGTCACATGCTCTCAGCCACTGAGTGGGGCCATCGGGCCCCAGCGTCCTGGCCAGTTCAGGAACAAGCACTTGGAGCAAGGGCTATGTCAGTCAGTCTTCCCAGATGGCCAGAGGCTTCTCCCATCACCCTCAGGCAGTGGCTGTGTCAACGCTGGGTGGCCAGCGTCTTGGGCTTGTAGACAGGAACGTCCTTGTCCCAGAGTGCTGGCAGCCCCTTAATGATGTCAGCTGCCTTCTCTGCGATCATGATGGTGGGAGCGTTCAGGTTGCCGCTGACCACGCTGGGCATGATGGAGGCGTCCACAACCCTGAGGTTCTCCACCCCCAGCACCCGGGTCTCTGGGTCCACCACGGCTGTGGGATCCGAGGGCTGGCCCATCTTACAGGTGCACGAGGGGTGGTAGGCACTGTCGGCTTTTGCCCGCACAAAGGCATCTATCTCCTCGTCTGACTGCACGTGGCTTCCCGGCTGGAGCTCCTTTCCTCGGAAGGGAGCCAGTGCGTCCTGCGCAAAGATTTCTCTGGACAGCTTCACACACTGACGGAAGTCCTTGATATCGGTTTCTGTGGAGAAGAGACAAGGGAAGGCCCTCCTGTTACTGTGCCAGCCTCACTGCAAGATCTACAGGATGGAGAAGCTCCACAAACTATGGGGGACAAAGTTTAGGGACAGGGATGGCTGAGCCACGGTTCAAGGATAAATGGGAACTCCATAAAGGCATTCCCACCACTGGAGCCAGACCCAGGAGAGATGAACGTGGTGCTGAATTACCTGTTGACAAGTAGTTGGGCTGGATCACAGGGTGGTCCTCCGGGCTGGCACTTCTCAGTTTGAGCCAGCCCACACTCGTGCCCCGCATGGTCCCCACATGCACCTAAGAGAGCCCAGAGGACACAGCAAGGTCTGCAGTGGCCTCCATCAACCCCAACTCACGGAAAAGAGGCCTCAGGTTCCAGGGGGGAGGGCCCGGGTGCTGCATCCAGTTAAGAGCAGAGACGGTGACCCATTTCCACAGCGATGCCAAACCACCCGTGAGCCACTCCTCCCTTCCACCTTTATATTCTACAGTCCCACATGTTCAGGGTGGCACTCCCAGGGCCGAGGCAGCCTTGTCTGTCCACTGATGGTGCCTGGGCCCTAGGACCTGAGCATGCCCTGCAGGCTGACGTGCTGTGCTCCTGGTACACTCCCTCCTTGGGGAAGACTCCAGGCCTGGCTTCCTCACCCCACCCCTGCCACAGCTCCCTGCGGAGATGAAAGGCAGCATCCGGCCAGCAGAGGCACCACTGCTCACCTGGTAAGCTTCCTGCTGCGTGGGGACCCGCCCGTGGTCAATCACCTGGGAAGGCAGGAAATGGAACTGGATGTCGGGGTGGGGGACCCCGGGCTGGCTGCGGATGAACCCGCCTGTTTCCAGATGGGCAGTGGCTCCGTCCCCTGTGTCAGGAGAGGACAAGGCGGAAGAGCCTCAGTGAGGAAGGCCAGTACTGTGCCGGTGTCCAGCCCCACGCCCTGTCCACAGCTCTCCCCTTCCCCCAGGGGGTTCACCGAGCACCACAGCTTCAAACAGCAATCATGCCAGAGAGCCGGCTCTCACTCAGCTAGCTGTGTGTGTGAGGGTTTGGGAGAGGGTGCTTGACAAGCAGCTTCCTGGCCCCAAGGCCACCCATCCGTGCCTTTCCTCTGGCTCCTGAACCCCATGTGGGCGCAGACCCAGCCCCTGGGCAGCCTCATCTGGACAGGTGCTTTTGCCTCTGGTCCTCATACCAGCCCACCAGGAGGAACAATGGATACCCATTTTCCAGATGGAAAAAGTGAGGCTCGGCGCCGAGGTAAATGGAAGAATTCAACTTCAAACCTGGCATTGTGAGGCCAGAGCCTTCACTCAGCTCTTCAAGAGAGACTATGATTATCTAGCAAGGCTGCCAAAGAGCCCACCTGTGAATCTCCAGAGCCACTCCAGACCGATGCAGAGCCTCCGCAAGGGCTTCTGGGTGGAGTGGAGGGTGATGGGCTGGGTGCACGCCTGCTGAATGTACACCTCCAGGTGGTCCTGCAGGTTCTGGCCAACTCCTGAGACAGGCGGGAGTGGTAAGGGAGGTGGCTACACGATGGGCTCAGGTGGTTTCTCAGTGTCCCATGGGCTGGAAAAGCACTCCTGTCCACTCATGTCCTGGACCCGGGCCTGCTGGATCCCTGGGTCTCAGCTTGAATGTCCCTTCCCGAGAAGCTGAGCCTGCAGTGTGCAGTGTCTGCCAGCCAGGCCCTCTCTCCTACGCCCACGCTGCCTTCCTTGCCCGTGTGGGAAAGGCTGGAAGGAGAACAAAGACCCTGTATCCTATGAGGCCTGGGGGACCCCGTACTTGCAGAGGATGTGGCAATCCCAGGAAGCACCACTCCTGTGGCCCCCGGGCACCTACTGCACTAACACAGCCCACTACGCCACTTCGTTTTGCAGAGGCAGCCTCTGGGGAGCCAGGGCAGGCACTCACCAGGCAGGTGGCACACCACGGGGATGCCCAGTTTCTTGAGGTCATCTGCATTCCCGACACCTGAGAGCAGGAGCAGCTGTGGAGAGTTGATGGCGCCCCCACTCAGGATCACCTCCTTGCTGGCATAAACCTGGAGAAGCAGGGGGCTGGCCAGTCACACTCCCTAGAGAGCCGGCTCCTCGCCAGGCTCATGGAGCAGCCAGCACCAGCAATCACGAGGTATGGTGCCCACGCACAGCCCCAGGAACACTGCCGCTGCCACGGCCACCAAAGCCTCCCGCTGGCTCAGGAGGAAGAGGAGGGCCGGGCAGTTCCATTATGTGCAGCCCTGGGGACGAGCAGCAAGAGTGGCTGTGCGATAGCCAGACAGTAACGGGGGCCATCAAACAGGGAGCGCGGACTTAAATGAGAACAATGAAGGCAGGCCCTGAGCCAGATCTACACGCGGGCGTGCAAAACTCCCACACGCCGCTGAGCAGAGAAGGCACAAGGTCACATTTTCCACACGGGAGCAGTGACCCTGTACGAACACATTTACGGATTTTAAAACCTCCAATACAAACCTATAAACTTCTGTCAACACCCCGACAGGGCGCAGACGATACTGGGGGACTCTGGGAGATGAGCCCGCAGGCCAGGGTGCTCACATCGGGCTGCCCCGCCGGGCTGGGGGCCGCCTCCCCTCACCCC